GGGACTGGACTTTGATAGCACGGTTTGTTGTTATATTATTACACAGATACATTATCAGCAACAATACAATGACTAATGAGATTTAATATATCAGAAAGTTCAGATAGAGATCTGCAACCAAATCATGCATAATTACACAGTCCCAGCTGCCAGGATTCCTAGATGCAGAAAATGTGATCAAATTAACTCACGCCTACAATTCAAGATATTCAAGTCAAGATAACATTTGGAGGCTATTGTACATATGTTGTAAATACACTGTGAGGCATTAAAAATGCTTTTGGTGCCAATAAAATGTTCTTGCGTTTTTTATGCTTCAGTATATATACAGTAGGTTCTGTGTCAAAGACTATGCTCCTTTCTCTTTGTTTTCCTTCTTATTTACACTTTGTTCTATCCAGATAACCAAGAACAGCACATTTACCAGCTATGTCACCAGGTTTGGTGCTGATCTGGGGGCGACTTCAAGCATAGCGCATCCATTAGGCCGCTGTAGCACATAAAACACACACAAGAAATCAGGCAGTTCTTATCACTTACCCACATGGTCCAGATGACTTCTAATAAATATTTAACAAGTGACTAAATGCTACTGAGTCACCATTGGCGTTTTTTAAGACTCACCCTTCAAACTAATTAAACAGCATGGAGCTTGTCTAATGAATTAAACAAATCTAACACAATTAGTTAATGTGGGCAGCTGCATTATTCTGAGAGCTGTGAAGGAACAAGTAGAGGTTAATTCCATGCTGTAAAGTAACAAAGTGACTACATACATTCCTTATTCATGAGGAACAAATGCAGCCTTAGTTACACTAATTTGTCAGGTGCAAATGTTTATCCATGATTAAAGAAAACTGAGAATTATGTATTTTAACCTAGCATGAGTTCTTCTTAGCGCCTATATCAGCCAAGCATGAGAGCAGCATGATGCCTGCTACTGGAGATCTTACATCAGATCTAAAATGCCTTACTGTTACAAATATATTAATAGCATAGTTTTTAGAACATTTCATGCACCAGTCAAACAAATTCGCCAAAAGAATCGTTAGGCTGCACGCAAGGTTGAAACGATAATTTATTAAAAGATCATTTATTGTGAGTAAAAGCACTTCTTGAGATCTTTAGAAAGAAATTTCATTTCAGCTGAAGCAGGACTTTTGTTTGAAGCATCCTGAAACAAATTCAATTATGTACAGTAAGTGTGTGTTCTGTGCTCCAAAAGCAAATGCTTATTAATTATTATCAGGATGACACATCAAAAGGCATCACTACTGAGAGAAAGCAACAGCGTTCAACA